TCTTTCCAGTGAAACATGATATAAATCAATCAAGTGATTGACATAAACCATTCTAAATCCACGTGCAAAGATGTGGTGGCGTAAAGGTATTGCTGGCTAAGTAGAACGTCTGTATATTGTCACTAATATCTCGAAGGTAACGGTATCAAATTGTCATGACAAGTACATTACGTACAATTGCCACAGATATATCTAACACACTTACCTAAATGTGAGACACTATACATACATACGTCGTATACAATAATGTTGTTTTTCTAGCGAAAGTATCCTACTTGTTAGCACCTAACGATTTACTGGTCTACTGACCTTAACTAAGATACTTAATATTTATTCCTATACTGAACCAATTGGATAAGATTTAGAGATATAATAAACTTACTTCGATATATTTTTAAGTAATTGATTAATCAAGCAATTGAAGCAAGAATACTTTCTTATTACCAAAGGCCGGTGGATTAATCTACTTCATCCAATACGATTAAGACGTAATTAATACATATTAGCTTGTCGTAGCTCTGTCGGGTTATTTTAAATTAAAACAGAAGACTGCACAATTAATAGGTTTAATTTCTACATATATCAGAATCAAGACCGGCTCACACCGATACAAAGAAATGCCCGAATGCAATGGCTGGCGTGTGTCGATGAAGAAGAAGCGCGGCGCTCGCGCGGCCGTGGGTTTTTATACCCCGTCCCGCGCGTCACCGCCTCTATGGTCGATGGCCATACTAATGCGCCAACAAGCTACCAATAATCGAAGTCACAATCAAAGAATCAATCAATTTAATTGCGTAATTCTAAATAAGTCTCACATATAAATTCTATACCAAAATTGGTTTCAATTAAACCTTTCGAACCTGAGAGCTACATTTCAAAGAGAAAGTACCATATAGTTTACACCATGAATTACTTACAATGTCACGTACAAAAGCAATTTGGAGCATCGTAAAACTGCTACTATCTCATAATTACACCATGCTTAACTGAACATTCCTTGGAGACATTATGGCGTCTCAATGAATGATAAAAAGTCTTAAATAGAAACTATTTGATGTAAGCAAGTCAACAGAAGTATCCATAGTGATATTGTTACATTATTTATGTACTTTCCTTTATTTACATGCACAAATTAATACGGACAAACGACAAAAGGTGTGGACGCTGCGCACGCGACGTCCCACTTCCGGCAAGTCTGTGATCCTCTCAAGCGCGTCGCGTAATCGTATTGTTATTGGCGTATACGATAGTTTATTTTGTATTATATTAAAATGATTTTCAGGAAGTATTAAGTATCTTAACTTTACGACTGTGTTTCATCGAAGGAGGAAATTGACAGTCGATACATAGGTACTTAAATAACATAACCAACGATCATTTTGTAATATTCCGCGTACAAATTCAGATTCATATGAGATCATTTCGAAATAATGAAATCCGATAAAATAAAATTGCCTGTTTATAAAAATTTAAATACTGTTCCAGAAATTGAATATCTCTTAAATAAAACTAGCGATTGGATTTATGGCTCTTATTGAGGATAAATAAATTGCATAAACAGTGTCAATCATGCAGTGTCAGTAAAAATAATATCTAATCTCGATTATTGAATATGTTTATCACTAGTGTATTGAGTCATAGGTTTCTGAGAATATAATATTGTCCAGTGCTTCATTTTGGTGTCCGTTGCCGGGTCGGATCGCACCCACGGCAGTGAGTCACGTTTTGTTCCAACTACCGGACCTGTAAATGCATTTGATTCCGTCGGCCCGCTTTCTCGGATATTACGCGTATTACGACACCGGTACCGTCTCGTATTGAGCTCAATTTGATTAAAATAATACTAATATTATACATGAAATCCTGCAGCATTTTAATCCGTCAATTGTTTCGAAACTTGATATATATATAGTTGTAAGTTAACCAATGAAATTGTGCGATATAATTTTTCAAAGTTAAATAAATAGGTGTCAATGACAATGTCCGTGCCATAATAATCAAACTGCTTTGTTGTGTATTTGAATATTAAAATTCGATACCTATAAATCATAAGCCTATTAATAACGAAACAAATTGTATTTGAAAGCGTCACAAAGAAATTATGGCACCGCGTTTAGTAACACTTTCGCTGGAGAAAGCTATTCGTGCAATGAAGTATCTTTGTCTTTGCGCTTAAGATGCGCGGAACGGCTGACTAGTTATTAATCACTTTATGCGGTGAGCACGACTAAGATGCGATACTGATTACCATACAATACAATATCAGTTAAAGAGGCCTTGCTTTATTATAGTCGTACGAAGATGTTTGTTTACTTGAGACATATATTTTCTTTTATTGCCTGTTAACTATGTTTGCATCGAATACAATTTATTAGTCTAACTGGGCTCGTGATAATCGTTAGAATATTTACATTTTGAATAAATATTACCAACAATAAGGTATAAGAAATCCTGTAAAGAAACCAATTCAATTTCGACGGCAATTTATTGTTAAAACAGTGGCCGTTTTCTCTTGGATCAACTAAGATTACTTGTGTAATCGTTTCAAAATGGCTGTGTTACTTTACCATAAATGTCTCGAGACTACTCGATGGCGGCACCCACGCTTGGCGCCGAGATGAAGCCGCGCTTATTTAGGATTTCACCACTCCCCAATGACCATCGTCACTTACACAACTATTGACCAACGGTGCGGCGCCAAAGTAGTGCGTGTTGCCACTTTTTGCAAGGCCCGCACTTACTCGATCAGATACGATTGAATCTGATTCAATTAATGACTGCTAACAATTTCCTAGTTTTGCAATTGATTTTTAGCCAGATTTTATCAAAAAATAACTTGTTCCGTTAAAATACATGTACCTATAACAAATTAAGCATAATATTCTTATGTGTAAATGAGCGTCAACGTACAGATATTTAAACACATGATTATACTTTTTCAGAACCAAGGATTCAATAACACCAAAATGGAAAGCTGGTTGGGCGATGTCAAACGCGTCAGAATTCCTCGGCCAAAATTCGGGAACAATAAATATCCCGTGGAACCGCCCAAGGATTATTTGGAGGATTGCGGAGGGGATCTTGGCAAGCAACGTCGCCATGACAAAGACCTGACTAAGGCGACAGAAGAGCTACGTCGATCGCTGCAAGAGAAACTATGACCTAGTCAACTAAGCATTAGGTCTATTTTAGATTTAACTCTAGCCAATGGCTTAATGACCCCATACACTCCCACTAATACGATTACACACGCACTTTGACGGACATTGTTCGGAACAAATGATCGTGATTTGCTAAATTTACGAAGTGTTGCGGACACGCGGTACGCGTGTTAATATCGTCCGGGTTATTGTTATCAATTATGTAGTCTATAGTGTTATTATTTTGTTAAACATTCAATTAAGGAGCGGTTTTCGTAGATGTGGTAAATATATTAATAGCACATCTACGTAACGCAATGAAATCGGTGTAGAAGAATGAGGTCGCTTTGATACTTTTGACACACATCCTATTCATGTCACGGTATAATGTAAGATTTAAAAGTGAGTGGATTTGAATGTCAAATGCCCCTGATTTACCTATCAGAAACGACAAACATGTCTGTCGTGTTCTGTTTCAATATAAAATATACAATTACCTGTTTCAAAGTTACAATGAACACAGACCTCGTGTCTTTCTTATGTTAAAACATGTTTTTATGTGAAAATGCTGTCAGTATTATTTTACATAGATTTTGTACACTCGTTAACTTAATCTGAAAATAATAGAATTGTTTCAATTGCCATGAGCTAAAAGAATCAAGCAACATTAAACATACTTATGTGATTGTTAAACCAGTATCATTATTAACTGCGTATTAGACATAGTTAAGGTAATTAGACTGATATAATTTTAGAATAAGTTTATTGAATCTCGATAGTATTATAGTACTTTTATAAATAAACATTGGTATATCGTTTGTTGTTGTTTTCTATTTCAAGTGAAATATTATTATGGTAACGTTTATGATAATCGAATAACTTCTCGGATTTCTTATAAATAGCTAATCTACTTTAGAGTACCTAATATAAATATTGAGTAGCGTAATTATGAATTCGATAATAACGAAGTCCACACTGAATGGATGGATAATATGAGAATAAATATCATCTATCTATTAAATTAAATAAGTATAATTCGAATATCATCCAAAGTGTTTGAATAGTTTTAAGTTACCAATTCGTAATTATCTTTCTCTTCTCTATATATTATCGAAAACAGTATTCTCCTAAATACGTGCCTTCTTGACGATTAGTAGATATTTCAAAGCTGCGCTAGTAATACGTCATATAACGTTTTAGATGGACTGGTGAGATCAAGACGGCTTTGTCAGAATGCTGGCAAGATGCCAAACTATTCGGTTACAAATGAGTTTTAGTGGATATCTACTATGTTCCGACAAACATACATATAAACAAGAGCTTCTGCTTATTCAGCAAAAATGTTTGATAAGTTATACCTACATCTGTGGAGGCGAAACTAGTCATAAATTGTATTGGACACTTTCTAGATACTTCGACTTTTAAATTTGAACAATATGAAAGTTGTATTACTTCTTGTTGAGAATGGTATTGTGTTTTCTATTATTTGTTAGTTCTTGTAGTTAAGAAGATTGTATTAAGAGTAACAACTGAAACTTAAGGCATTATAGTTGTAGATTCTAAAACTCAAGAGGTTGAAATTTTGTGGTTGGACGAAACACTCATATTAAAATTTTACTATTTTCGTTTGCTTTCGTTTAAGTTTTGTCAAATGAAGTAATTGCTTCACTTAACTAGATGATTAGCCAAAGTATAAGCCAGAAAACAAAGTGTTACTGAAATCTTCGCTTACAAAAACACACACAGACACAAAGGGATTGTTTAATAATGTCATAATATCCGTTTAGTAATTAACAGACACACAATGTTACCCTAAATAACAGTATGTATGGCTTAAACAAAAATCAATAGAATACTTACGGAGTCATCGTAGTGTTGTGTGTGTAACGCGGTGGTGCTGCCCTCTCTCGAATTGCACGGGGAAGAGTGTCGTCGAGATCTCCGGCCCTCCTCCTCGTACTCCTGCACACGAACATGTTTTTAATATTTATGTATTAAACGAAGTATTACCTTACATTAGTACATCACAGACCAACGAGTTTAATCGCGTAAGTACAGTCGAACTAAATGTAACAAACACTAGACAGCATCGTGTCACAAATCATAACATGCATCACACTTTACACGCAAGAAAGTAATACAAGCTTCAAACTACGTAACTCTATGTAGCACACGATAAAGTTCCGTCTAGACAAGAACCTAGATAGATTTTTTATTTGGTATAAAATGTCTAAGCTAGGGGTGTGAAACACTGAAGACTCGCGCTTAAACTGCAGGCCGAGGGATGACCAACTAAATGTCTCGACGATTCAATTGATTTTTCATGCTATTTTTGCATGTTGGCACAGTTTCTGGCCAACGCCGCGCGGAAGTGGCAAGTTGTTAAGTATTGTTATCGTTGTAGCAGCACCTAAACTATACTAAAAATAACAAAAAGTCACATAACGCGCATACATACGACCACGATACTGGCAGAGCTTCGTACTAGGCTTCACATATACCTACTTGCAAATCATAACGAAACATTGTTGATGTTGACACGGAGAGCATTGGATTGGAACTTTAATTGGTAGTTAATAAAAATGAAATATGTAAAATTCTATTTGAATTGCTTTGATTCAAGACTGGTTTGTTTTGAGTTATAAATGCTAAATGTATGTTCTGTACTAACGAACGACGAATTCCCACGAAAAACAATTTACTTTGTTTAACTTTCATCCATGTTGCACAACAAACATTTGAGATAACATCTGTTATGTCTGAGATGGATTACTTTCAAGTATGATTATCTAAACTAAACAATCTGAATATGTTCACCCATTCATTTTGGGACTGATAGGTATACGTATTGTAGAAAGTGTAACCTCTAAGGGACATATATATTTTATAAAAATTATAATCTAGTAAAATAAATAAAAGCACAGTTCGTATTACAGAAGCGCCCACCGACTAAAGCTGTAGTTAAATCTAGTTTTTAACAAATTAGATTAATCAATTAAATTAATTATTTTCTTTCAAAACATTGCAGATGTTTCTGAATATGAAATGAAAAATATCATGTCTGAGGTCCACCTGGAAAACTCATTATAATAAACATTTTATATCTGTCATTTATTTGAGGCCATTGAAGAAGAAGCCATGGTATAACAAGATAAATACGAGCAAACAAATTTCCTTACACAAAATAAATTGTATTCTTAATTAAAAATAATGTACGGGCACGTTCACCGGAATCTAAAATGATTAATTTTCTCGTTTTTATCTGCAATTTAATTGTTAAGTGTAGAATTAATTTTAGGTATATACAAATTTAATGCTTAATGAACAATAAATAAACCAATGAATGAAAAATTAAAGCTCTATCTAAATTGTTACGACTCATAAATGCGCTAAGATATCACAGAATTCGCTAGTACACTTGTACATATAATATTGGTAACATAGTATGTATAATATTGGTTCAGGATACCTAACAATAGCTCTGAATTAGACCTAGCTGCTTTTGTTCATTGTGTCCAAGAGAAACCCAAACCAGGTGTCGGTGGACAATTGCGTGCAACATTGGATCGAACTCATTAGTTGTTATCGTTTAACCGGAGCCATTGAACGCAATAGTTTTACGTGTAACTATAATACATAGTCACGCAACTGATAAAGGCTAAAGACCTTATAATTTGGAACAAAATCGACCTAAATGCCTGCTCGGATTAACAAGTAAACAACCCTATTTTTGGTTACATTAAAATTAGTTATTTTGTGTTAACCTTTATATTTATTCAATTTAAAAACAAATGAATGTTAGTAGACAATTTATGACAATAACATAACATAACATCACTCCTTTTATCCCCGAAGGGGCAGGCAGAGGTGCACATTACGGCACTTAATGCCAGGTGAGCCTATTGCCATATACCGGGCACATTTCCAGACTCCGTGCCAATACTGAGAATTAAAAAAAATCCAGTAGTACTTTACTCGACCCGGGAATTGAACCTGAGACCCCTTGCCCGGCAGTCGCACTTGCAACCACTTGACCGACGAGGCAGTCATGAAGGCAATGCAATGAGGCAGGCAATTTATGACAATACTAAAGTGAATTTACGTTATACCTCTATACCTATCAAAATCAAACAATAACCAACCAACGAACTTTAGGATTAACCTAAACATTAACAGATATTTACAATTCAATTATCACAACCTGTTAACTAGTCTGACTGATCTGATAACAATCCTACCTTCCTTATGATAACAACAAAAAGGCCAATAGAAAAAATATTCAGCCAGTATCTAGAGCACGCCATCCAGCTATTCATTACACAAAGTACTCACACCGTCTGTATATCTAACCTATCATCGGCATGTTCCCGCGTAAATCCTAACTGTCAACAGAGGAAAATAGGTCATTCCGGTTCTCATAGGCTACAGACTGAACCGGTACTTTTAAAACACGACTTTATCGTAGCACCTGCCTGCTACAGATCGTAGATAACGCCGAGGTTTTGTTCGTTTACAAAAGAGATCCTGAAGACTACGACGCTACGAGACGCTACGAGCGCTACGGCTACGGGAAATTTTGTTGTATATTTGATTAAAATTATGTTTTTTAGCCTCATACATTTAGTTCAACTTCGTAATAAATTAGACTAGATATTAATTATAAAATTAATTAGATATGGTCATAGATAGTAATGAAACGGTTCATTGTACTGCATCGATGAGTCCCCAAAGAGAAGACATCAACGACCTGGTTAGCAAATTGCTAATTTAATTAGCTTTATTGATCGGCCAAATGTTACTAGATATATTATCGTCGAGTTATACGTTATATACAAAGGTTCATCTACTATATCCAGTCATAAAAATTAAGTTTTGAAATACGGTAAGCAGAGATGTATGGGTATACTAAAACATTTTCATTTATTTTGCGAATTCTTACCGTCTGTAATAACGAGTCTATTACCATAATATATTGAATATAATATCGCAGACACAGAATAATGATCAAATCAAATCCGGGATCTCGAACTCAGCAATCTCGTTAAAGATAATTTACGATGATCATTAGACCACAAAGGAATCTTTCGTTAGTTAAAAGAATTTGCAGACAGTAGTAAATCTATCAAAGTGCTACATAGGTGCTTGAGTCTGCTAAAACATTTTAAAAATTGACGATTTTCCAGTGTTTATTCACTGTAGTTTCAGTGAAAAGGGAGGGTTGTTAACAACAACCCTGTTAATTATGCAGGACAATCCGTGGTCTACGTGGAAGTAGCTCACACCTTTCAAACTAAGAGCCATGAGGGAATTTATGCATAATGTTTAAATTGTTAATTTTAAGCGCACGATTTCATTAAGTTTATGGAACCACTCCGAGTCGCAGATGTTAAACATACACAACGTCAATATAGCGTATTATTAAACTTTCATTGCGTATTATTAAATAATTAAACCGCCGTCATTTTCGCGTTATTCTCACAACGGCGTTCTGTTATTGTTGCAGCTCAAACAGGATCAGGCGCTTAACAGTCACTCATTTCAGTAAATTACAGAATTATTATTTTTTGAAACCAACAACTGAGTAAATATTCATTAGAGGTTTAAAAGCTCCTCTAATTATACATGACGTTTATTATGTTCTAGGTAACTTAAAATTACATTGCATGTACACGAATTTTCCATTAGGCAGCGCTCGTGTTGTCCATACACAATGAATCACACGTAAACACAAAATTATTTAAAAACATTCTATTTAAAGAGATTTTGTTTTCATAAAGCTAAATATCTGCAATTTAATTACATACGTAGTATCGAAAAGCAAAACAACTACGCTTCAAAATAGTACAGTTAAAACATTAAAACCGAAACTAGAAACAATTTAACTTTTTAAGGTCATCTAATTATCACGAATTGGTACTGTAAGAGACAAAGACTTTGTATGGAAGTAGATGGTGTACCTTGGCCATGGCGCGAACGTCCATAGGTACGTAGTCGCGAAAGGCGACGCGGCGCCGCCGGCGCGACGTCATGCCGAGCGCCCGGCGCGCCGCGCACTGATACCACGAACCGCCTATAACCACCCTTGCCGCCCTTGGGACCCCTTGGGACGCGCACGCCCTACGTGCCCGCACCACGGTTTGTTTAAGAGGCTCCCTCTTAACTTTACATTTTATGGCACACCCGCACCGAGTACGCTCCGGAAATATTTTTAATTTTCCACCTCTTAAATGAAATATCATTGCGGTCAATAACTGTCGCCTTTGAACCCACGAAATGTGGTAATTTAAAACTTAATTAAGAGTTCATGCTGATATTCAAACATTTTATTTAAAACAAAAGGCTTAGGCTTCAAGTTGTAATCCTATCTAGAAGATAAGTTGTAAAGTTGCTGATTAAAAGTATACAAGACCCCTAAACCCTAAACAACTTTTGCTTAAACATAAAATAAACATTTGGTCGTAAAGAAGTAGAAGGGTCCATTTATCTTTGTCTATTTCGGACGGAAAGGTAAATATAATGATACTGCGACTGAACGATGACAAACGAGATGCTTACGTAACAAGTTCCAATTAGATAACGTGAAGAAAGTGCCCTGCGCTACGTATCTATACTATATTTATCTATACTAGCTAATTAATTTCATTTAGGGGAGGATGAAGCATGATGCCCACAAAGCCGCCTTTCTTGGCACCCTCGCTCTTATTGAACTTCATTTATAAAAGATGTCCTATATTTATTAATGAATGCTTTCTTTTGACAGTAAAAATTAATTTCCCGGGTGGACCGCGGTTAATCTGTGATTAATTTACATTCGCTTGTCTCTTTTATTTGTAGCCGCCATTGTTACATATTTATTAGTAAAGTCATAAATAAAGTAATAAGTTTAAATAGTTTCGAGTTCAGTTCGTTATCCTAGGTATAAGCTGGCCTTATCTTTATGACGTATCACGGTACGAGTGCCGCGCCTCGCTGACGTCACAATATTAGATGGTTTAGAGTTTAGCCTTTAGCACTCATTAATTTTAACAAGTAAAGGTGCGGTGAAAAGTACACCTTTAATTAAATCGATATAAACCTCGCAGAAGGTTAATTAAGGTTATAAAACAGCTATTCTTATTAAAATACTTTTCTTAGATAAACAGTTGGTTGTCTGTAAAATTGTAATAAATTGCTTTCTTAATTAAAGAATAATTTTTACTAGACATAAACCGTCTAAAATATTCATAAAATTATGAGCTAAAAATGTTTCAGGTTTTGTACCTACCAAGTACCTATCATCATTTATCCTATTTCACCATGTCTGATCTAGTTTCTCTTAGCCTAAATTACTGATAATTGGTTTATTTTCTTTCTTAAGTGAGTTAAGCTAACAAGACCTTAATCAGACATTGTGAAACTGGCCCTTTGAGTACCAACATATTATTTTGAAGACAAATAATCTTGATACAGTTTGTGTACTCACAATAACAACGATATTGTATATTTATGAAATGATATACGTCATGTGAATATCATACATACACTCAACCTCTCGAGGGGGATTGAAAGAACACTGAAAAAGAATTCTCAAATAGAAGCGCTTTATTAATGCTGCTAGGTGGAACGCGGAACATAATCAGGAAAAGGGAAAGGTATCATACTTGAGGTCGTCGTTATCCTATGGTGTCTTTAACTGTATACAATACAAGTAGCTTTGAACCTATTATTTACGTAGCAATAGGAACCTTTATTTCCTATCTGCATAAAAAAAGAAAAAATAAACACTAAAATATTTTTTAGGTTTATATCTAGAAAATCAGTTTTTGAAACATTACTCTAAAGCTGCAGAGACCCATATGGTATTTTTTGGTACTTTATAAAATCCCATTAAAGTAACTGATATTGTATAATTATGTAGATAAGTACAAATTTTCACTCTCATACAAATTCTTACTAAAAACAATTTATCTATTTTTTTAAAATATGTACCTCATACATAAACCAACTTCCATTTCAAAAACGAGAAAGAAATTCTGCGACATGTACCCCAACTAACAGACAGTCTGACAGACAGACGGATATAACGAGTCCATAACGTTTCCGATATTCGCATTCTGCTTTACCTTAAAAATTATTTTGGCAAAAATGTACCTTTTAAAAGCAGTATGTGTTTGAGGGTTAGACGAATGGACAAAGGTGTCACGCCAATGGAGGTACTTTTGAAATTCAACTGGCACCTTGCCACGGCTTTTATACGTTGCCAACATTATTCTATAAAAATAGGTGTAACTTAAGTTAGGTAAAAATGTTACAGTGTGCCTTAGGCTGTACGAATCAATTTCTGTAGTCAAATCTGTAGTATCTGTGCATTTTAAGAATAAAACCTTTGATACGCCTAAAATTAGGATAAGTCGTCTGTCAAAATAGTATCTAACTCTATCATAAATATTACCGTGTTATTTCACAAATGTAGGAAATGTTTCTAGACCTATCGAATTCTGTTATCCTAAATCTGAAGGAAACGCATTGATTAAAAATAAACCATTTCCAGCTTACAAGTTATAATAATTGATGTGGTTTATTAAAAATATCCTAAAATTAGGAATAAAACAATTATTTGTAGAAAAAAGGGTCGTTTGCAAGTTATTAATAATAATTAATTAATTAATAATTACTTATTTTGCTCTTATTATTTTTCCTAAGCATCTATACTGAATAATAATATCTTAATTCAAAAATATAAAATTATTTGTTTACTTTTACATCCAAATGTTTTATTATTTTACATTTTCTAAATTAATCATATATACAGCGATTAACAAACAAAAAGATAAAAATATCAAAAATAAAAAGATAACACACAGGGCTCGTCCGGGATTTGAACCCGGGACCTCTCGCACCCGAAGCGAGAATCATACCCCTAGACCAACGAGCCGATACAGCATCGTGCGAAAATAGTAGTCTGAACAAACGCCCTGCACTACTCTGTTATCAATGACGTCACAATTGTTTAAATAACATTAGTCATCCAGAATTATGACTAGTCTACACGTGACGAATTAGTACTCAAAGATATTTATTACTTAACTTGTATAGTGGTTATCGTCCTTGTTGAGATTTCGAAATATCGCACACACATCGACAGAATAATGAAAACGTTTTGCAAGAGAAGAATACTACTTGTATCTAGTCTATACTAATAGAGTCGAAAGAAAACACTGTTATTGGCCGCTATTACCAAATTAGTATTTTCGTACAGTCAAATTGCCAATTTTCCCCATTGATTTATCTCTTTTTGAGATGAAAAATTATTAGGTAACAGAATTTTGCCAGATTTACCCATGGAATGCAATATACAGGAAATAACGGCCATATTTGTGAGCTGTTTTAGTTCTACTCGCTAGCCGTTATCGACTCATGCAAGAAAATGTGAGATACATAATAGTTGTACAGTGGTAGTGCCGAGGTGCCACTCCAGCAAAAGCCAATGAATTTATTTGCAAATTCCAAATCAATGAAATAAAGTACTCTTTAGCAATGAAAGGTACTGATGTAATAAAAGCAATGCAGCATCACCTGCCTCAGTCATTGTTTTGTGTTTGTCAGTATTATGATAATGTGATCAAGCTTAAAGGACTTGAACATGAGCTAGAATAGCCGTTGATAAAGATTAATACAATATAATAAATATTAAGTGTGGTCTGTGATGAGAACGCGAGTGACACCCAGGACACTGCTATAGACAAGGCGTAGAGAAGTGAATGTGGTCGACAAGATAAGTGTAGAAGGTAATTCTGGCAAAATCACCTCGTGCGGGGGCTCCAGGTCGTCGTCCGGGGGCGGCGCGTCGCTGGGCCGCCACGCGCGCCCGCTCCTGCCCCATACAACACCACCGTCACATCAACAGGCCTTCACACATAGCTACTCCAGCAACTAGTTCACACATAACACCATACGATAACACACAAACTCAACCATCAACCGATTGGAACCATTGGGAGCTTTTACAGGGACGTACTTGCGAAACAATAACCTAATCTTGTTAATGTTTGTGTTTACAGATGTCCATGTATCCTAATCCTAGACTGCACTGAATAAAGCAAACGAAAAAATTTACGCACTTGTGCAGCGAAACTTAATCAAGTAATTCGTGTTTTTTTTAGAAATTGAGAAGTAGCAGCGTTCGATATTTCCAGTATAATAAAACAAATTCCATGCAAAAGTTCACCAAATCTAGACCTTTCCTTCCCTAGATGAAGATGGGTTGCAATAATAATAACTACGTCAAAATTGTTGATCAATTTTGAAACAATTTCACAAAATTAATGTAACATAAAAATAGAAATGATGCTTTTGCATCGATTTTATAGGCCCATAAATTGAAAGCACCCCTTACTTACGGATGCAGGACATTGGCACTAAACCGCCGGTGACAATAAATGGGAACGTTTATGCTCTCATAAAACAATCGATTCCAATACTGAATAAAAGTGGAAGTGTTTGGCGACCAGCCAATGAGATGCTCGGTTCGCAAGAGTGAGCGCTGACAAGGGCTAGTGGAAAACTGTGGGTTATTTTCGCTGTGAGATGTAAAAGAGCGGACGAAAGCGAACGCTCGACGAGGACTCAGCCTTTGCTTTCGCACTTTAATGGTACTTTAACGTTTAAGCGTCTTTATAAGAGGCCCCGCCGGCGATGAGGGATTTACGCCTCGCTCATTAGAGAGGTGCGGTCTCTAGCGCTTGCGGCTCTCTGATGCAGCGCAGCCACAACTCAATGACAAATTATTTGTATACCCTTCCGTTTTTCACAGAAACCACAAAATCAAATTAAATCGTAGTGTAAAGAGCTCTAGCTATGTTAATCTAAGTGTGGTCAGTCATATAATGAGGTCACCTGTAAGCATGGTCATGCGGTGGCAGGCCCAGGCCGGAGTCCTCGGAGGGCGAGCGATGGTCGGCTACGAGAGGTGCCTCCGCCGGTCCCTCCTATAACAATAACCCGCAACCTGACCCGAAAGCCCCAACACTTTCAACCACTTCTCATGTGAAACTTACGTTGAACTTACTAACTTGGTTATTACTTAGGGACTTCGAACTCCTTAGTGGTGTAGAACTACAAAGTCACTACTGAATAATACAATTTTAAAAAGCCCTAAACGGAGACAAAGGAACTTAAGAAGATACTTGAAACGCTTGTGGTTGACATAGTGTTAAAAATACGCGTAAATAATTGGTCACAGTAAGTAACCACTGAGAGTTGTAAGAGTTTTACATTTTTCAGGCCTGACCATAATGGTGTTTCATTGATGTTTAATGATTCTTACGTGTTATTGAATTAATGGGTACATTAATGAACCATTTATAAACAAAGCTCAATCTACTTAGAAAGCAATCAAACTATTACATCGATGGAACATGCAGAGACAAGGGCGTACTCGGCCTTCCTTTCTGAATACTGTTTAATATTTAAACGTCATGTATTGCTTTAAGAAGTTTGGAGTTTGGAGCAGCTGTGTACGTCCATGTGCAGTCAAGTGTATAAGTAAAGCGTGTGCACTTACCGGGTCGTGCAACTCATGCATCGTCGAGGAGGGTAGCATGTGTCGCTCGGGACCCCGCTACCAACAAATCGTAAGCGTCAACTAAGTTTGTGCAAATGATATTGCACTGAGATGTTAACTTCGTGTTCATAGAAAGAAAGGGTAATTATGAATTTATCTAGACTATACATAACATCTTTGTTTTGCAGCGCAGCTGTGTGAATTTAAAAGTACTCTAGTGATGTGAACGTAGATATGAATGTTGCCTGTTCATTAATCAGTACATGACATTTGTTGAAGCAAAATATTTAATTAAATTTCAACTTAGAATCATTATTTCGACGTACTCATTTTAGGTATTAAGATAAGTAAATGAAAGGCATAATTTATTAAACAAACTTAGTTATCTTGTAGTAGGCAGAAAAACATCGTTTAAATTAAGTTACTCGGAGCAATCTTGCAGAGGGCGGAATCCTAATTAGGCACTGCAGGTAAGGCACAGATTATAACATTGTAAGACGAAAGCCTGCCTAATAAACTCTGATAAAATACGCCTTTATTTTTCGCTGAAGTAGAGATTAATTGTGGAAACGTTGCAAAGTGGTATTTACATGACTCTATTTTTAAGCTAGTTAAAGTTTCTGCAGTACCTTTATTATTTCGTGTTAAGTGTTTTATTTACTTACTTCATTAAAATCACGAATAAATGTACCTACTTTTTAATTTAATGTTCGACTTTCCTTCTTTTTCTCGTAATAATTGCATTCAAAATCGAAGCAGTCATTTTTAAAGCATTTGACACGTGGTTTTGCTAAGATTTATTAAGTTAATATTATCTTGATTTATTTACATAGAAAGAGTAATTACCTTGATGTGGTGGTCGACGGGCTCCTCGCCTCTTCTGTAGACGAGCTCATCAAACCTCGCTCTATCCTCTGGCAACATGAATTCCCTTATCTCCGTCAGAAGAGTGTACTGTAAAGGAAACTCTCATGTATTATTTGTGTACAGAAATAATAATGAAAAACTAACACGACTGAAATTGTTGGGGTTGCGAGCGAGTGAATGTAGGTTAAACAGGTAGATAGAGGAACAAAGGATACTGCTTTCGTGGAATATTTTGTGATCCGGTGTAAAACAGACGGTATCATCAACGTCTAAAATATATGTGTATTGTTGCGGTATTGTAATTAAAATAGGTGTATGTATAAAATAAATTGTGTACCTAGCCATCGTAATTGTACAATGTGATCGGTCACTATTTTGTTGCTGTATTATAGTACCTACTATGTAGTATTGGTGGTAATGCTTGCACCCCATGGCTTTATTCCTTTGCTACGATTCTTTATTTCGTGGCGTAACCACATGCCGGTTGGTTACTTGGAGAATAAGATGTACACTATGAAAAAGACACTATGTAGCCTATATAGGTATCGTTAACTTAATTTTTTTCAGATTACATTCAAGGAGAATTATCTTGGTCATATTTAATAAATACACAATAATATAACCGATTATTTATTTCCACACAACAATAGATTCAATAATATAGAACAATAGATAGAAAATTCGATGCGATCAAAGAAAATGAATAATAATAATAATAAAAAATACGTGAAACTTCACAAATTACTTCAGCATTTCATAAAGCATTAAATCATTAATGAGCATAAACAGCAGCGTGGCTGCTAGCTAAAAGATAAATTATTGTTTGGTAATGTGACGAGCGTGCCTGCACAAGACATAAGTTAGACCGCGTGTGATTGATGATAATGTATTGATGTACCTACTACACGCTCACTTCATGACGTACCACAAATTACTTTAATCCTATAAAACCGCGTGGCGAGAGAAAATACGGCGGAATGATATGTCTCACTGAACAAAATTCGGTACGTATTGAATAATGCAGTACAAGACGTCGAAGTAAAGGCACTTCTATGTGCTCGTTCCATAAAGAATACTAGCGAAATTAGTGTCTATTGTGAAGAAAGATGGATCTATAAAGTTAGAATTGAGTCATTTTATTTTGCAGAAGACTTTTTATATGTTATAGGTACTTCACATATTAGTAGCCTAGTTATGTGCATCTACAGCACTTTTAGTAGTGTTAATATAGTACATACATAACAACACGCCTTTTATCCCCGACGGGGTAGGCAGAGGTGCACATTAAGCCACCCACTTTTCACTATTTATGTTATGAGTCCCATGTAATAGGGAGTGAGCCTATTGCCATATACCGGGCACAGTTCCAGACTCCGTGCTACTACTGAGATTTTTTTTAAACCCAGTAATACTTTGCCCGACCCGGGAATCGCACCCGTATATATAGTCTTTCTCCATATTAAGTTTAGGCAGAATGAGCGAGTTTATTTACAAAGGTACTTAAACTGAATTATAGCATTGTAAATAATATATTTATCACTAAAAGTAACTAGTCATTTCTACGTAGTGATGGCTTAATCAACTGATCGGCCTATTTCCGAACCTCTACTTCATATCGAGAGATTCGATCGAAATAAATTGGATTTCTGTTTATCAATAAAATCTAGTTTCAGGTAAAGGCAAAGTTGGTTGCACAAGCTGACATTCTGTCGTTGTTAGGTATGGTTGTCGTACGTAAATAAGTTAACAACAAACGTAATCAACAAGTACGTACGTACTTTGATTACATTTGTATTTTAGCTCAGTTCGTGAGTTGAAAGATAAACCAAGAATAATTAACAACGATCTCATTCCGAATCAATTGATATTGTATAAAAGCCAAGATACAGAACTTAGCCGAGAAAATAAACGTTAGATAATACGTGATTTGACTTGAATATTTATGTCTCCGTCGTACAACTGAAAGACTACAAATGTAAGAAAGAGACGAGTATATACAATTTCCACGCCTAAATTAGCTAGTAGTAATCCAATACATTATTCTTATGTTACAGCTTTTCCTTATTGCTTACGGGACAAAAGCCTGAGCGACGCACACAAATACTTTCATTAACATTTAGTGGATGTAAGTATTAGCGCAGAACGTCCCGAAATAGGGATCAGAGGGGCCAAGATAATAGGGTCGATAGAGGACAATCTGTACTTCGGCAAAGAAAGAAGTCTTTGAAAGTATCCGAAAACTGTTAACATACATTATACTTTTATGAGGTTGTTTACTTTGTGTTATTTTGTGTTCGAATTTCTGTTATTTATAGCTTTCCATACCTAGTACGTGAAAACATGTCATCTGAGTCATGGTGACTCACTAGATCGAACGTTGTTGAATCATTTTCCTTTTAAGGCTTCGTCGATTTTCATAATCCTATGATTAAAATAGACCAAAATGGTAATTTGCACAGAACTACAGAAGAAGATTGTAGGTTTGAATGAAATATTTGCCATCCTAACTAATTAAGATGAAGTGAAGATTTCCTACATACACATGTTCCTCTCTTTACTTAATCAAATTGAATTGTATAGGTCATAAGTAACTAATAATCACTGTAGGCTTAACCTGCAGTGTTTATGTAACCACAGCTGAATGAAACCGTCATCTAATTAACTACATAAACTGTCATCAGATACGTATGTGAAGTGACCTAAATACAGCGGGTCGCGGATTCGCAGCCTGTTTATGAATCGTGGGCTCGATTCTTACACTGCCTTAAATTTGCGTACAGCTATAAATAAAACCCTTGGTTACCTCTGAATAGGAATACTCACATGAGTCAAGTTCTAAGACAAATCTTGTATTTTTTTTCGTAACTTCGAAATCATACCCGTACACAACGAAGGTGTATAGAGGTATATTATACAAATTTTGTACCTACACTTTCAATTAATAAGTAAGGTAAAGATTCCACTTAATTCTGTCATAAATGTAACTGCCCTCAAGATTGAGCAATACCTACTATGTTCAAGTTTTTAGAGTTTATTTGCCTAAATTCTAAAAAATAAGAACTGAAACTGCATTAGCAGTGTAAAAAAGACGCTATTCATCACTAGGACTTACAACTGCTAAAACCACCTTGTTTATACAATACTTTTAGTACTAATCAATCATGTGGGAAGCTCCCTTTAGTTTAGGTTAGGAGTAATCTGTGTAACTATACATACGTATGTATGTATGTATAACATCACGCCTTTTATCCCCGAAGAGGTAGGCAGAGGTGCACATTACGGCACTTAATGCCACTATACAGTGTAACACCCACTTTTCAGTATTTATGTTACGAGTCCCATGTAATAGGGGATGACCCTATTGCCATATACCGGACACATTTCCAGACTCTGTACTGAGGTTTTTAAAAAACCCAGTAATACTCTGCCTGACCCGGGAATCGAACCCAAGGCCAATGAGGCAGTGTAATTATTTTATACTTACATTAGTTTTTGGAGCAAATACTATAATGTAATAATATAAGTTACCTTCTGTGGCGTATCTAGTAGGTCTCTGACGACTGTGAGGAAGGAGTCTGGCGTGAGTCTCCTGGAGGCGTACTCCTCCATGTAGTAAGCGATGGCCGGCAGGTCGCACTGAGGCAGCAGCGACCGAGCCTTCTGCTCCACCGCCGTAGCCGCAGCACCACGACGCTTGCCCCAGCCACTTATTCTACGACAATTATTTATTACAATTAATCAACATTCGTTATATATTAACTTATTGTATACTACTAGAAATAATCTATTTCCATTGCCCTACAGAACACGCTATTACTTCGTCTTTCACATCTTAAGGCGCTTTCCAGATCGATGACCCGAGAACATCTTTTTCTGCTCCATCAGCTATCGATTCCCTCTATGGTTCTCTCTACCTCTTTTATTTGTTAATTCAATGAGTACAGATCTTATCTTGCATAATCACTCCAGACAGAGCTAGCTCCTTCGCAACTCATAATTTACCTAAATCCTATTTAAAAAATAAAGGTACTGCCAAACAACAACGTAACAATGCTGACAGTATTCTGGGAAATTTAATTAATAACAAAGAATATATTAAATACCCCATGGAATTTGATAAGGGACTTGCCAAAAAAACTCAACATTCATCCGTTCATTATAACAGAAAACACAATTCACTTGGGCTGGCCACTGCCAAGGGTAGGTACCTACCCTTTTGTTGCCAAAATTATTTTGTTTCAAAAGTATGCTTTAAACTTTTTAACAATCCCCAAGTTTCATATGTCCCTGTGATACTTGGAATATCGTAACGTCCTAAACATTTCTCAACTTAGTCAACACTGAGATATTATTGAGGCTACATCTATTTTTATTAAGATTGAATAACAACCTTAGTGAGCCAATTGAAGAGAGTTTTGATACCTTGGAGCCGCATCCCGTTCCCCGTATGCAGTGCAAGCATGCGGCACCTTCCCGACGTCTCGCACCACCAGCGACATACGTTTGTGGTACTTGAGCTGTGCGACTGCCTCGTCGTGCGTCACGTCGATGAACGACTGATTGTTCACCTCCAAAATCTGATCTCCAACCTGACAGAAAAATTAATTGTATAATTTACAATAATCTGCTATAATATTTCTAAAAGTAAAATAAGAGAATTTGTAGTTACTAGGTCGTAACATGTACTTTTAGATATCAATAATAGTTGGTATTCCTAATCGAGGTACAGCTATAAATTTAAAATGCGATGTCTAATGAAAATTCTTGGAAAATTGTTAGTGGTAGAAGTTTGAAACATTATGAGATACGGATGTAGAAATTACGTAGCGTACAAAAGCGTAAGGCGGGTTCGAGTTTTGAGCTCAAATGCTATAAATTTGCCAACACACCTCGCACTACTACCCGCGACACCAACTACCTAACTATAAATATTTGTTCAAGTAAGTAAATCTGTAATTTCTTAGTTCTCTAAAAATAGGACTTCATTTAGCAGCAATGCTGAATATCATTTCCATAGAGCTGCAAGTTTAATGGGAAACAAACGAGTAATTTAGTCGACTTTGAAGCACCCTCAGCTGGCACTAACTTCGATGCAATTCCGTCTCACAAGGCCTCTTGCCTGCCGCCGCACAAGTTTTCCCGAGCTGGGTGTCGCGTTAATTTACAACGAATTGCACCAAACTAAGCGCACTAAATTGAGATTTATATTCGCAGTAAACTTACTCTGCATACTTTAACAGAACGAAGTTATGTTTTAAGTTATTCAAATCAGTTTTCTTTTACAATTATTTTCACTATCATTTTACAAATTAAGAATCTAAAATTAGATTTTTAAGAATAAGACAGTAGCTGTTAATAATATCTCTTAACTTCATATGTAGGTAGGTATACATTTGAAATATCAAATCAAAGGTTCATGTTCTTACAATGTCGTCTCAGATTTCTATCCTACCTACTGCCTATACTATTATTTGACACCCAATATACTCAGTTGTCATTCTTTCACATTCAGTCATCTGGTTATTTATCAAAGTAAAAATAAATGTACTACGACTAACGATGTGAAAGCAATCACATTATTAGACTTTCAATAATATTATGTTTCATTCCGAGCACCATCGACTGTCCAAACACGTAAAAGCGTAAAATAAGCTTAATATAGAACTATAATTACCATAAGTCCCGCTCTATCTGCGACGGAATCCTTGTCGACCCCAGTGATATAGATGCCGAGGTTGTACTCGAGCCCTCCTCTTATCATTAGTCCTAACGACTGTCCTGGCTCTATACAAAGGTCGACCTGCACATAAACTCATAGATTAGCTATTTATTACGGAACATTAGTACTACGCAACTAACATGAGTATAATGAAAATGCGTAGTACATAGGAGAAAATTCATGGCATTTCGGATAGAACATTAAGGAAATAGCTATTAGGGAAACGCTTGGCACGTTACGTGATTATAATGTAAAGGCCCATAAACACGTAATCTGTGCTCATAGCGGCTTAAGAATGGCTTCATTCACCAAGCTATAGTATATCATGATCAGGGTCAGGCGTGATGCGCACCATGTCACGGAGATCGATGCGAGCGTTGCGGCCCAACGTCATTACAACCACTAACGACAGAATTCTGTGGTGAGTTGACTACGATTAGCATACCACAAAGCCACCCCCACCCTCTGCTAACCTCAATATGCAATGACATTAAATATTTACGAGTTACGGAATTGACTATAAAATTTATGATGTCATAAATTAATTTACGCGTTTATAAGAAATTGTCGTCATGATGAAGATGATTTAAACCATGACGTCTACGAATACTTTTGTTGCATAAATGTTGTTTTCTTAAATAATATCACATTAGTTGGTATTTTAAGTTATTATTATTGGCTAGACTCTTTTCTAGTATCATCTCACCCTACGTACGGAGCGGTCTTTGCTAGAGGACCGCGGTGGACGCAGCGGTGGCGGCGATGCGGGTCGTCCGTACCGGTCCATCCACGAGCATGAGGCCCGTCCGACCAGTGCACCTGCTGTCCGCACCGTCATCGTCAACTGACGACACGATTTCAGCATCTATTGAAAAATATACAATTTAAAGCAAAAGAATATAACATCTGCCATATACCTAGAGGTATTGTTTCAATAAATTTAAACAGATACCAATATTGAGAGACCGACTCTAAGAACTGTAATAGTAAAACATATTGGATCTTCTTTCATGTGCATAAAATATACATATCTACGTACAATAGCACAAATTTTATTTTGTATCGCGTAAAAGTTTACGTTTCTCATAAATGTGCCGTTATGCCATCCAATACCCATAAAGTAACTTAAGGTCATATAAATCTTAACAGTCGAAACATATTCGGGTTTGGCTTTAAAAATAGAGTCAGTAGGTGAGTCGTTAGTATTTACCATAAAACTAACTTTGGTAGTAAAATTTTTTAACATGAACTAGGCACAAATAAGACAACATACACCTAATAGTATTACAATATGTAAATATTAGATACAGGTAAATGGTACCTATAGTTTTGCAATACCCAAGCATACAAAAATATTATATATAGCCACCCAGCTACGTTTACATAGTTCGTACAAAGAAATGCTAGGGTTAGGCACGCAATCGCTCTAAAATAGGACAACTTTATCAAAGGGACCGTCAGTAAAAAATTGCAGGGGTTGCTCAAATAAAGGCCTACATAGGTCATATTCCCAAACTGTTCGTTGGAGTAGTCTCTTATTACATGTATAAATATTCCTGTAGAGTGAATCAAGATTTTACGACTGAATTCGTCGAATTACACTTTTACAATCTAGTTATTACTGTTTAACTTCATTTCCACATACATTTAAAAGTTTAAAAGGAAATTTATTCGTAGTTTCGGGTTCGTTTAATAAAAAGCATCTACTTTTATTTGTGTGATAAAATCTTGTCAGCTGATAGTTTGCCTCGGTGGAGAGACGGTCGGGACAGCCTGGCGACATTCGGCCAGCCGGCGCGGCGCTACTGCCCGCTTCCTATCTGACATATAAAACTGCCACATGCTTTTATGTAATATTACAAGTTAGATGAGATATATCAGTGAATACAAACAGTATTTTTCCTGACTACTGATTTTGTAAAATATTTTTAGATACGTTTATACGTTTGTAGTGGATTTTACAAAAACGGAATAGTACCTAAAGATAAAAGTTAATGATATGTATGAATAACAAAATGTCTTTGTAACGGAACAACTATAGTCGTGTTTTACAAAAAGGTCTCAGTAAATGTCAGGAAGCGACATCGTAAATCAAGCGATATCGTCAAGTGCGGAAGGAAAAGTCCGACAACGTCTGCAAAAATAGTACCGCTTACCTGACCCACGTGGCACCCACTATACCAACTAGGTATTTAACCAGTTTCTAAATTATATTCCTAAATATTTTGCGATGATTCACATGAAACAAATATTTTCTTTGTTAGCACAATGAAGTATTTAATAAAGAAACGTAATTATCCAACAAGACTTCTGCACAAACACTCATAAACATTAACAATAACTACAGAAGATGGGCACTTGCTAAATGAAGGCCATTATAACTTAGAAACAACTGACAAAATAGAACAGCCATTGCCAATATCATTCCAAGTACAACACTGAATTGTTCCTTCGAAGAAAGTGATAAACTTTTCCGAAAAGAAAATAGGTATAAGAAAATAAAATAAAAGATATAGATTTGGAACCTGACTTTTCTAAGAAATGTAGGTATACGACTTGGTTAAGTTTATTTGACTAAGTCGATTATATAGTTTACCTAAAGAAACTTCCGTGCAGAACAATTAGAATCAAAGTTGGGAACAATTCGATGGACGTTTGTAGGGTACATATTTGTATTTTTACTAAAAAGGTACATAATCAGTAAATAACTAAATAAATGGTGTTAGTATTTTTACATAAAAGTTCTAATGAGCTTATCTTTAAATCTAGCTCTTTAACACTATATCTTTCAAACGATAACTAACCCAGACACTTTTGTTGTTTTTTAAATGGAACGAAAATTGATAATTGTGTAAAAACATGTGTGTATAAAAAACAATTTTACGCGTATCAATTTGAAAGAAAATTAAATTGCTGGCTAGGTGTGCCACTGCAGTTCACATTGCGAAGGAAATAGAAAACGTCCCTCTATCGTGTCCAGCTGTCATTTTTAAACCAACAGCAATGTCGTGTGCATGTCGAATATATTCTGATGCAGTAAAATGTAAATGTAACGTACAACAAAATACTGAAAAATTTCAAAAAATAACTGTTTAATTTAAACTAGTTATTGCTGCATAAAGTTCAGCAGGGTAACTTATTACTAATCGTAATACTTCTTAGAATCGGTTCTCTTATATCACGATACAAACATAACAAGTAAAGTAATGTCATTCGGACACCGGCGCCGCGCCGTTCAGAACTCTTATTTGAGAGTGTATAATGGTCCCAATTGAACAATCAGCGGCTTTACGGACAAACTAGTCGTCGGCTCAATGAGACCATTTTTATACATTTTACATCATTTCACCCCATTCGTTGTTTGATATGGCACCATTTAAGCAAAGGGAGTCCGTAATACTAGGTAGTGTTTTTAACAAATTTAAAAAACAGCCCGCGCGACATGTATTAATGTGTTCCTTTCAAAATACCGATTTTTATTTATTTATTTACTTCTTTTTCTTAGAGAATTACAGTTAATGGCAGACTGCATGCCTTAAGACATTCTCTGACAGTCAACCATAGAGAATTGGAGTTCATTTTAAAATATGTACTCATGAAATAGAAAAACCAGTGTACTTATCCTGTAAAACTTTTCTCTATACATAGGTATAAATACCATTTCTATTTCCCGATGTCGCACACTGCGAGTCGATATTAAACACGTTCACTTCGAGTTCCCTGTGACAGTTAGATAAATGTATTGCCTAGTACATTACGTCCCAAGGGATATATTCCTTTTCAGATATAGTCGTGTCACTTCTTTAAATCATAAGAGGAGTCAAAACTTCACTGTAATAAATCTTTATAAGAAAATGTATACATTTTAAAAAGAATTTATAGACAACATGAAAATATTCAAGACAAGGAAAACAATTTTTATTCCAGCCTGGAAAGATTAAAATTAAAAAGCTTTTAGCGTTCAACACTACATGTAATATGCATAACGTTAACTCCCGAGACCAGACTGCAATATAAATCACATAATTATCATCCGGTAAGTGTTTTCCACGGCGTATGAGAGGATGAGCTCGTCTGCGCTTGCTAACACTTTGTATAATAACGTCACTCGAGTGTTCTAGACTTTTGTACCTCCTCTAATTATTTTTTCTCATTTATTTTACTTTTGCACCGAACACACAATTTTCAGTTTTCATTTGAGATTTAATCTATGTAATAACGATAAATTATGAGATGTCCTATTTAAACATTAGGATCCCCTCTTACGAAACCAATAAAACTGTCCTCTGTGTATGTATGTTTAGGTCTTCAAAAACAGCCGTAATTAAAATTTATCTCATGAAATCCGTACCAAAAAAAGACAAAAGAAAACAGCCGCAGCCCACAACAAACCGAGCTCCAGCATAAACCTGCATTATTATCTTTGTGTAAATTGACCGAGATCCCAAAAAATAAATGGTTCATTCAGGAAAACCGAGAGCCTTTTGTTTTGGCAGGTATGTTGGAGTTAACTGTTTAAAACATTCTTAACAGACGAACTGTTTGGTAGTGAAGGCATTTGGCGCGCGTCACTTACGGTCATTTGGCTTACCGTCAGGACAGAGTGCCAACAGCAACAGGTCTCACTTGAGCCTCCTCATATATAATAATCACCGTGTAATTCACAGATATCAACCGCCTAACTATATGCTAATTTAGAATCCAAGTTAACGAGGTGTTTGACTAAACTAAGCTGTTGAATAGGTTGACTACCTAATTAGATAAGTACTGAAACAGGTGTTAGTAACATTTACAATCGATAATAATGTTTAACAAATCGCGGTCGATTATTATTTTACCAAGTAACGTGGTTATTACATTCATTCATTACGGTCTTTAAACGACAATGTGAACGCGGTCGTAAAAGTACATGTAAGAAAACTTACAATTGTAAATATATATATTCTATTTCTACAGACGTAGGTAAGTATCAGTACATCTTACGCAAAATTCCTTACCTTAAGAGCATCTTCATGCGAGATCCCGGAGAACGGAGTGCCATTGACTTGTAAAATGGAGTCTCCAGGGCGCAGACCCGCACGCTCCGCCACCGATCCTTCTTCCACTCTCGATATGTACACACCTACGCCTAAATATTATTACATTAACTAAAATTTATACAACTACATTACAACTAGCCAGTAAAGCAAAATTAAAATTAACGAAACTCGAATAAAACAAAAATAACAGAAATTTGAAATTGCTCCTTACTATGGCGCCAAAATAAAACATATCCATAGACAATCCTAAAAAAATTTAAATGTTTTATCTTAGACCTGAAAAACAACTTACTTGAAAACGTAAGAGGTCAACTTTACAGCATATTCAGGCTGGACAAATTCAGATATGAAACTCGTATAATTTGAAAACCGTGCTACAATGTAACCTCCACAATGGGGCTCTATGCAATATAAGCTGAAGAGGATCTTATCTTGTGTCTGTGGTTGGATAATAATACTCTGTGAACTTCTAAAAATGTTGTACTTACTAACATATCTACAAAATTATTACACATAAGTATTTTTGAATTGAGATGTAAAATGATGTAATTTTTTAAACGTAACATAAAATGTTTACGTACACACGTAAAAGGAACTACTGAAAAGTATTTTAGAGAAGGCATTATGTCTTTTCTAGCTAATTTCAAAATCTTAACTTAGTGTTCTTATACGAAATTAGTTGTTTTTAACGATAGACAGGAAAAATAGCGTTGTTATTTATGTCCGTATTTTATTCGACGTGCAATTTAAAAATGTTTCCTTGTGGGTACGATTCCCGGATAATAGCCGGCGCGCATTTTCTCGTAAGAGGTTTTATGCAATTTAAATAACCCGCCGCGCGCCGCCCTACCGTCTCGTCTGCCAGTCGAGCGGGATTATCGTTTGAAGTTGCCACAAGCGACCCAGCCCGACTAAACAAGACAGAATGATATTTTATATTCTTTTAAAACCTTGACTTAAGATCGCTACTAAACTAAGGCTTAAGTACTACAATGTCGAGTACGATTTTGTCTCAGATATATTTTGGCTATAAAGACGTTGTTTTGTAATTTATTTTAATATGGCATGTTGAGAACACGTCAATAATAAGAATATGTAGTTATCTTAGTCAATTTATACAATAAAATCTACTAAGAACTTAAATAAAGCTTATACATAAATAATAATGAATGCTAAAAACGAAAAAAGCACTACTTCCCTTAATCTGACAAATCACAATTCAAATCAAGAATTAACATACACACAAATACCTTGTACGTATTCGACTCAATATCCACAAGGGATTGCCATCACCAATAAAGAAAATTGTAACGATACATACACACGTAAAGCGTGTTTCACAAATAGCATGGGGTCATTGTTTAGGTACTGATCGCTCTCAGAGCTATTTGCGTACCTCCCACGCTTGCTAATAATCGATAAATCGCTCGTCCCTAGCCTTTCGTGATAAAACAAACTCACGATTTCAGCTTTAGAGAATACACTGACTAATGAATGAAAATAAATCGATAGGTATTTGTCTGAAATGCCGCCGTGGCTCTGTTCGAAATACTACCAAAAATGTATGAAACAATTTCGCTATGTCTGCTTTTGATTTACTTTAATAGTTTTGGCACCGATATAGGTTTTGTTTACTATTTAATCCCCTCTTATTACTCTATTTTTGTCTGGCAATCTACGTACTGTGTGATAGATATCAGAATGTAAGAGGCAGTTGCGTGTATTTGTTTTATCCGCAGAGAAAACATTTCACTAACGGTTTTCTGTTTCACGTATCCGTGCTTATTGCAAATAAACGGTTCATCACGTGTTCGCTGTCTGTCTGACAAGGGTATTACACTGAGAACATTTTATCCAAGGAAGGTTCCCACCTGCCTCCTTCCCTCCTTTGACACAGATGCCAAAGCCATGCGAGTCGGCAGGGTCTCGGCTCATGGTGACGGTTCGCGTGGCGGGTTCCGCCGGCGGCGGCGGCGCCCCACCCGATGAGTACGGCCGCTCACGTTCACCCCCTCGGTATATTGCCTGTCGACAAACATCATATATTAGCAACAATAATTACAAGCAGTAAGCAGCAATACGATCTTAATTAAAGACATACCAAATAACGTCTATCAGTCTATGTAGATAAACAATACACACATAGATATAGGTAATTGTGTACCTACTGGCTTTCCCTTATCTAACTTGTGCTTTCCAAGGATCAGTTTGTAAGTAAGGCCACCCACATTCCTATGTGTCTCGAAGAGGACAAAAAGCCGTCAGCGGTCCCAGATGGCAAATAAACATCTATGATAGTCGTAGCGCCAACCAGCAGAATCTAGTTAAGATTTAGTGCTAACCTCAATTTAGATGGAAAGAGTAAAGATAGCAATTTTTTTACAACAATTTATTTTAACTATTTTAACATCCGTTCTCCATGGCCTCAGTCTCTCTCTCAAACAGAAATATATTTCATTGTGTCTACTTGCTTTTAAAATATTCCTACCGCACCGCTATACTACAAAAAACAGTAACTCATAAATATCAGTTATTGCAAAGTTTTACTAAGGTTTTCTTACATTTAAAGCTTCGTTTATATTGAAGTAAACGATGAAAGACGTGAGTGATGGTGCTATTAACTACTTAGATGAAAATTATGTTTTGTCAAAAACCAACGTTGCGCCGCTCAAGAGATGCTATTCTAATTACTTCTGAGGGCAGAAGCTTATCCTTGTCTACTGTTAGGAAGATACAAGTGAGAACATAATTTTATTATGTTAGGTTTATTTCCGTGTTTCCAAAGTCTAAATACATGCATATATAAATACCCGAAACATTAACCTTATACTCACTCAAACAAGCCATAAACATAATTTTCGCTCTATGTACATACGTTCAAAATAAAAACACATGTGTAACATATACCTTTTTTTTTTTTGGTAACAATTTTTAGTCGGTAGGCTACCGTCGCGGTCGCCTTCCGCATTTATTAATTTTTCACTAAATGACGTGTTTCCTTTACATTACGACGTGACCTGGCATGTTTGGCGGTGTTTTCCAAAATAATAACACAACCACATAGGAACCAGTACCCGCTCTCTGCGTGCTTGCTTGTAATAAAATTCTAATCCTTTATACTTCAATAAGGTGCAATACAAAAGGGTATTTTGATCCAAATATAGAGACAGGAAATGATTTCTAGAAACGCGAGTGACTTCTCAAAGAATTGTTTCCCTCAATATTGTACTCGACGGGGCGTTCATAAGCAATAAAACGTGCTCCCCTTTTTTGCGTAAACAATGTTTCTCGAGGCGAACGTTTAACATCTCAAAGAAGTTGTAGTAACCGGCCGCCCTCGGATAGCGCGCCGCGCCGCCCCGCACCGCGCGCTCTCCCGCCCCGAGATCACAGGTCGCGTTCCGCCACGAATATTTTCATCAGACCTCATCCGAGGTTTACTTCAAAACTGTGCTTTCGCTTGCATTGTACAATGAATGCATGAATTCATTCATATTTTATTCCACGTCTTTTTAAGTGTCAGTTGCATTACGGTATAAATTTTCAAAGGCTTCGTTGCAATAGGATATGAAATGTAACCTTATTTTTATATAACAATATTTGTAAGAATTTGATTAAACTTATTTGAATTTAGGTGGGCGAATCTTTAGATTACTGTTACAGTTCTAAGGAAAGGTTATAGACGTTTTGAATGAATGCATAAAAACTCCTTAATAAAAATCCGGTCATCCGTGAAAACCTTGAAGAGTAGAGCACGTTAAGCTTGAGATCCCAGGTGTTAGCTAGTAGTTCGAAATCCTAAATCTGTCGACAGGTCAAACTAAGAATTTAGTATCCCCGTAGTGGATTTAGAAGGACCGCTACAAATAATTTCTGCTTCCTAAAAAAATTGTCATTCAATCGAATGTGGTTAATACTCAATGCCCACAGACTCCGCCTACGTTACAGTTCTGAATAACGTTTTTAATACTTAGACTCACTTACGATTACTTACGTAAAATGAAATACAATCATATTTTCTCTTGCAACGTTTTAAATCTCGAACAATTGAATCCTTAATATTTCCGTAATAAGACTCAGTATATGCAGATTTACCTCAACAAGTGTATCAAAGCTGTAATCGCTCACAAGCCACCCACCGGGAATACCGACGGCTCATACAACTTTACTAAAGATATCTTACACTTTCCAACAGTGATTAACTGCTCGCTTTCAGTTTGCGATGTTAATAGCCCCTAAGTACACTTTAATTGATTAGAACCAAAAGTTCAAAAACAGCTATTATTGCAACCGAGTTTTCAGTTTCGATTTATACGTTTGAACAAAGTGATTCATCGTGTCTACAGAATCGATTTTTGTATTGTATTGATTGATATACTTGAATTATTTACCTCATTATTCTGGGTGGAATCCAATTTGGAATGTCACTTAGATATGTGTTACTACACCAGCTGACACTGAGAAACATCACGCACTGTTTCAAGACCCTTTAAGCACTCATTTTTATAACCCGTTTCTGATCAGAAATTACAGCATCAGTAACGTAGTTCACGTGAATAATTCTTTTAAAATTAAAAACTCGTTAAAACAACACTGTTTCCTTTTTCACCACAACTCTTTAACGTTTTATGTATGTACTTTATACTTAGTTAAATACACTTGAGGTCTCACGACTAACCACATCAGCTTCGAGGAAATGAGACCGTCGTCGCCTTCGTCAACGAGTCCGGCGTTCACAAATTGAAATATTTATCGTTCCAACATTGAAAAAAGCAATGTAATTGGGTCAAATGGCACGACACCGCCCTAACGATTTTACGATAAAGTTAGGGGAAGTTTGCGTAAAATCGTAATTTGTTGTTTAACTTGCACAATAAATAGCGGTTAAATACAGTGTAAACCTCACTGTCTCCTGAAAGCGACTGAACGTAGCGATGACAGTCGCACCGACGGTGACCATGACACCATAAGTTTTGTATGGACACTCCTACAGTACCAATAACAATATTTTTATTGCAAAGGTTAGTTATTTCCAAATACCTAACTAACAGCCAATCGGGGACAAACCAATCCGAAATTTCAAACATGACACCTGATCCAGTTATTTGTTAGACAAGTAACCTAAGTACATATGCGGATAAAGCAAAACCCATTCATTTCTGTGCGGCCATGTCCACATTGTCGGCACCTAAACGGTCGCCGCTGTGGTCATGAATAAAGTAGTGGTATCGACTGGCGAGCTCGGCCTCACCCTGGAATAATTTACACACATGACACCCCTACCCCCGCCCTACCTTATACACAGCTATTTTTGGAACTTTAATTCACCTACTGACATCCTTGACGATACTAGTATTGATTCAATAATTGCTGCACCACCGCAATTTCAACAGCTGGTCTAATTCAAGGTTCCGTTCCTAAGAAAATTGTTTAATGATATTTTGGATATTAAGGGTACAAATAGGAATGTTATACCTAATACTGTGCTAATTGCTAACAGCTAAAGTAAAAATCAAGTCATGAATAATTGAATAGAAAGTTATACAACGATTGAAACTCTAATTAATCACGAAACGTTCTCGGAATTAACCTCAATTTCTGGCGAGCGCTGTAGGAGGCTAATTTAGTAGTGCTCCAGCTAGGTCGCAACAGCATCTAAATAATGCAATTACTTATATTAAGAGCGCTTACATGATGCGTAGTGCTGCTGGGACTGCTAGCAGGGGAGTGCCTGCGAGCAGGTAGGGGTGCAGGCAGAGGCGCTGGAGGATGCGACGGCGGCAGCGCTTTCCCTAGCGCTGCAGCGCCACCTTGTCCGAACAACCGGAGCACCTGTTCCGGCGATATCGGTCGTTTCTTGCCGTTCGCTGCACTCAGGTGGTTTGTACTGTTTCTTAAGCTCGTTGCCCCGGCTATATAAAAATAAAACACATTAGGCCAGTTCTGTACAAATTCAGTGCTCTAAGGGTAATGTAAAACAGATTTTGTTTCTTACAAATGGTTACTATGATTGATATCATTCATTTAACAAGCACCTGCACTATTCGCAATGGTCGTTGAACCGAGGTAGGGTGCCCGGGACAGCTTCCCCGCATAATGATGTGAGTACGAGGTGTGGTGGCCATGCGAGGAGGCTGGTCTCTCCACGATGGTGTACGATGTGCCGGGCGGCGAGTAGTACACCCCGCCCCGCGCCCTGCCTCTCGCGTCTTCTGCCTCATAGCTCGTATGCCGATTGTCCTGTAACCACTAGTTTCATAAAACATAACCCTATGACACTGGACTTGTGTTGAACGTATACGTATCAAACATTAGTAAACTAGATCGTTGCAATGCGCGTTGGTTCAAAAGGCCTGACACAATATTATGTGGTTTTCAATTATAAAATCACTAGCGACTTGTACAAGACTAATACCATACCAACCTAATAAGGAAGAATGTTTTGGACCATATCTTTTGATTGGTAGAGTGAAAAATTACATGGTTATATAGAGTCCTTATATAGATTCCGTAATTAGGTAACACCTAAAATCCGCTTCATCCAACGCAGGAGAAGTCATTGGATAATTTTCCGTATCTAAGATTATCAGATTTAAGAATGTATGAAAAATAACTTCAAACAACATCGAAAAGTTACAGGTAAAAGACGGCCAAAATAAAGAGCAACCAACGACCCACATACAGCGACATACCCTTTTAGTTATTTTTCCTAAGTCACGTTCAACAGCTGTAACTCACACATGATACCGCAAAATTACATAAATTGAACCAATTATGTAGAAACGAAAAAAACACGTTGCCGAGGAAAATTGGAAATGAACACCAGTTTCCTGACTATACAAATTGTAGGTGTACCTTCAGATAAGTGCTATTTATGTATACATGCTAATAATGTAACTGAATTTACAACCTCTCGCGTGCGATAGCAAAAAGATATCTATGTTTTCGACGTGGTTTTTTCGTTCCTTCTTTTTTCTTTAGCAGATATGTAAATTACACGTAGGTACCTACATATAAGTATCACGAATATCTATATAGTATCTCGTGATAGTATAGTTACAGTGTGGTGAACTCTCCACACTGTAACTCTTATTTAGTGATCTAGGACTGACATAAAAGTATAAGACATGTGAGATGCCAATACCTCGTTGTCTCATTTCACTTTATATAAAATTTTGTTTCGGGTCACCCGGATAGGAATGATCATTTTCCCTTTTTCCATCTGCTTTTACTTTAGAATTCGGTTGTGTAATCTACAGCCGCCTAAAACAGGCAGGTGTACCTGGTGGCTCCTGGAGTGCCTGGCGAGGTGATGTGCCGGCGGGTGCTGCGGTGTGGCGGAGCGTGTCCACCCGTAGCCCTGGTTGTAGGGCGGGGGCCAGCGCGCGCCGAACTCGGCCAGCTCCGAGCCCTCGCCCGCCTCCCCCGACCTCATGCCGGGGGTCACGATGCTTTCTACAACAACGAAAACACAAAAATACATATGCCACTCAAAGAAAATGTTCACATCGATAAACACAACGTGAAATACACAAAGATTTACGTCTTCTCTTTTTTCAGGTAAGTAACAAAGTAATTTGTACTGAACCGAATGATATCTGTTAGGTTTTACTTAAAAGTATTATAACGTTCAGTATAAATACCTACAGCTGAAAATAGAACCCCAGAGCTTGTTGGCGCCGAAAACTCTAGAAAATAACCGTTGCCATAACAATTTTTAAAAAAACTAAATCTTTAAAGAAACTCTAACAGAATTCAGGTAGGTAAGTCATAAAGAAATATTCGGGAAGATGAAGCTTGTAGTCGTAGTGTTGCGATATAAAATATTACTGCTCACTCGAGGGACAGGATCCAGTAAAATTTGTTATTAAAAGAGTTCACAGAATTGGGACAAGTTTGTCGTCACGTCTAAAAAAGTTTAAGATGGGGGACATAATTCGCAGTCCGCGGCGCGCGGTGCGGTGCCGTCGTCCGTCGTACTAGGCAATTTAGCGAAGGAAGTAGTAAGCGTAACACCTGGGCGCGGTCCAATTTATGGGACCGTCGACTCGAGCTTCGATCGTGAACCGCGACATACATTTTTCATGGACACTAGTTCATTCACTGTTTTCAATTATTTACGAGCAATTGCCAAAAGTCGGTTCGCATTTTAAAGATGTAAATGTTTAGTGAATGAGTGCTTGTAGAAATTTAATTTCTTCAGTGGTTTTTATGTTTTGTAAGTTATTGTTTTACTTGTTATATACTTTGGCTGGTTTTGTAGATGAAATTTTAATATATTGAAAAAAATAATTACCTATAACTCATCTATAAGGTGCGTGATTCTATTGTAAGCTATACTGAAGACAACATGCTTGTCTATCGGCCTACCGTCTACCGAAAAATCTTATCTTATTTATTTATCCCGAGCAAAATATCGCTATAAAATACTTTCTTAATCAGCAGAACTTGAATGACTACTCCCATAATTCGTAGCAGACAACTCAGACAAGTTCAGTACACCTAAGTCGTAAACTGTCATAAAGTCAGTAATGAGGGCTTAAGTACAAAATAAGCTTCCGACCATTGGGCGCGATGTCCGGTGGCGTGGCGGTCGACTTCCGGTCACCTCGGCCCTTTGAAAGCCGTCTTGTTTATGTGCCATTTATATATGCTAACATTCAAGTAAATACACCAGTCCATTGAAAAAAAACGCTTACCTACTGTGACGACAGCTAGTAAATGTATAGCTATTTCACTTTGTATTTTATTCTGTGGGATTTTTGTACATAGAAACATCAAAAGATTTGATTTTAGAACTAGCGTTCATTTGTTACTTACGTTGGATTTCTTTGCAAATCTGGTTAAATAAGACTCGAATACATAGCCAATCTGACGAATCGCCTTCTAATTTCTAAAGGGGTGTACGTACACACTCTTTATAATCATCTAACAAAAAAATATAGTCTGCAAACAAACACCTAACGCAATTGTACTGATTATCCACCTATTCTTATAGAATAACTATAGGGGGATGAAAAATAGATGTTGGCCGATTCTAATAGATACCGGATAAACACAAAAAATTTCATCAGAATCGGTCAAGCCGTTTCGGAGGAGTATGGCAACGAAAAGTGTGACACGAGAATTTTATATATTAGATGACGATTCAGTAACTACCTAAAGCTTGGCAAACCAGTTAATTCGACGAGTTGATGAACTAACTAAGGTATATTATAATCATGTCTACTACAGTAGTTAACTAAGGTATATAAGGTGGTTTTTAGGCATTAAGAGTCTGACACTCCCTCTCGCCTCACCCGGGCAGGAGAAGTCATTGGATGATTTTCCCCCTTCAAAAAAAAAGGTCAGCAAAACAGTAGTGTCTAGAATTGTGCCCGGTATATGGCAATAGGCTCACCTCCTATTACATGGGACTCATAACTCATAACTCAACATAATAATAGTGAAAAGTGGGTGTTACATTATACAGTGGCATTAAGTGCCGTAATATGCGCCTCTGCCTACCACTTCAGGGATAAATTAATTTATTTATTTATTTTGTTTATTAGTAGAATCAAAATGACGGAAGAAAAGAAGGTATATGTGGTCGATATAGAACATTTTTCACTTCACTACGTTAAGAAAACAAAAAACTGTACCAGCTAATTAGGAAAATGTAGGATTTTATTGTTACCAGCACAATGCTCTCTGGCATTTCATAGCCGCAAGGCAACTAAATATAATGTATGTAAAATTTAATCTGAGGTAAAAACTAAAACCAACTCTTTTAGTATTATTTACGTAACGAAACGTAATAAAAGGAACCAGTGAAATAAGGCCACGTTATATTATACTCAATACTAACTAGTAAAAGAATAAAGAGGTTACTGGCCTTTATTTTAGTAATCTATTTCGAGAATAAAAAATTATAAAAAGTAGTCTTTATCGTTTTTTATATTTTTTTACCAGATTCCAGCCGGTTCTGAGGGTAAAAATGTTTTTAAATATATTATCTATAAAATAATTGGCTGTAACAAAACAAAAGGGCTTGCTTTCTTAGAAAAATTGCAAAGAAACATATTTAATTAATAGCTTTTCTCCATAAGTTTAGTTGACTTTAGCCAGTTATATTACATCAAATGACTATAAATTAGTTTTATTTTTAAATATTTGAATTAAGTAGTATTGATAGTATTAAAACAAAATTAGATTCTTTTCAAAATACTGGCAATTTCAAAATTGGACGACTTAATTATAGGTTCCAAAAAAAGTAAAAAACGTAAAGCTAATTTTTACCAATTTATTTTGACAGTTCCAACAAGTATCAATAATGTCCTTATTAACAAAATAGGTTTTACTGTACCTAACATTAAAGTCATTCGATATTAACTTCGTTTATCATCAGTTTTGGCAACATACACGACACCTACTTCCAATTGCTCACTTTGGCCCAATTTCAATTGCACTCTCCTGCATTATAAACGACTTTTTGTTGGTACAAAATAAAATTGAATAAGTAAAATAGCCAAAGGTAACAATCCATTGAATTTTGCTTTTGTATTCACTTGATTTGGCTAGAGCATATGCCATTTGTCTAGAGAACAGGTACTAAAACATTACGTCCATTAAAAAGCAATTGTTTTAGCATTCCGTGTTTATATGACGAATTCAATTTTATTTTATGATTTATCATAAATGTTAAATACTCCCAAGGGGTATGATATTTCAGTTTAATGCTCACCGCGACCTGCATTATTGCAGTGGCAGATGACATGATGCCGTGAGTTGATGAAGCAGTAACCAAACGCTGGTCGGTTGCATAACGTCTGCACTGCGGCCATAACACAATAGGTACATATCTAATTGGATAATATAAAATGTATGTATGTACGAGTTATACGACCAAACGGACTATACCCTAACTTTTGTTCAAGGTAAAATAAAATAGAATTGCTTTTTTCATTTTATTAGATCTGTCAGGTACGTACAGACGTACACATATGTATAAATCAACGGATGTTTAATAAAACATCCGGGGAATACCCCAGAATGGTAAATTGAAATGACCTTCATAAAACATAGTACCACAATATACATAATATTACCTTTTTATAATACTGTAGTATTTTTGGTACCGTACAAGGATATACAAATATACACGAAGATTTGCGCAATCCCAAAAATTCATTTTAAAATTACTATTGTACGTAATTATAAAAAAAGCTAAAATTGCAATTGTGTAAAAGTAATCGTCTGCCTTTGTCATGTTGCCGCATGATACAAGAACCTTGAAGAAGCTAAGCTAAGAATGACCTGTAAATAGCCGCGCTACGAATAGCCGAGGCTACGCCTTTGACTGCTTATCCAAAGGTTGCAAGTTCAAAAACCCATTGAACTCACCTAGATTAACAACTGGTAATTACTATCTACTTATGAATGTAAGTACCCTGTAAGCACAGATCACAAGAAAAGAACTAGAAACAGCGATGTAGCTAAACTACAACAAAATCGGCTCACATAGTCAAAATAAAAAACGGAGACACTTATTTACTTACAAATCAGTGCAACAGTTGACAATAATGCTACTTAGGCTTAAATATTATTGAAATACATTGGCCAAACGAATGCTATTTGTTTGTGATAATTTATCTCAGCGAGTTCGAAGGATGGACGGGTGAATCCTTGGCTGAGGGCCAACCCCGCCCGACCGCCAACAGACTCGCATCCTACAACTTCATATCAGTTTTACGTCGTGCCACTTCATGTCTCATACATTTTTACTGTCGTCGGTGAAACATTCCGAAATGCTATAGGTATAACGGAATTCATTATACTTTATTTGCTTTCCTGAAGAATTTTTGATCACAATTTACATTTTATTTTTATGTAAAAGAACAATTGCTTTTCTTGTTCTATGCTTACCATTAGGAAAACTCCACTGAAACATAAGTAAGTAACGAAGTTAGAGTTTGCACAATAAAACTGGATATTCCTACACAATGCCGGGATGTTTTAAAAATAACGACTGTCATAATACAAAGCTGGTCTGTCTGCATAGTAAACAAATACAATATCCAAGTAAACATGTTGGTACATTGAACGCCGCCAGATACATGGGAATGTACTTTATAATAAACCTGGCATATTAGTATACACGGCCATAAACTCGCACACACACATATCGTAAACAAAACTGCTCGACGTGCGCCCTAATTGCGCCCGTGCGCGTAAGTTAATAAAAAACCTTTTAGACCTGTGGGAAGCACTACCGTAAAATTCACTTTTTTAAGAACAAAGTTCAGTCGCTGGGATCCTTCGGGAGCTAGGCGATGTTTTTACCTTATAAATCCAATCTGCAGTCGTTGGCACGAAAATAGCCTTCCACATTTTTTGTACTATTTGTCCACTTTAGTAAGACAAGTCTAGATATTTTATCTTCTAAGGAAAAGTGTTGTGTTTTTTAATATTTTATACGAGCTGCCTCCTTTGAGCTTTAAAATTTTGTAATTTTATATTTTTCACTATGATCTTTATGAGACGGGGAAAATAAAATACCCAATAGTTTTGAATATCTTATTTTTCTTTTTTGTAAATTTATTATTTTAAACAAACTCCACGCAAATTATAATCAGAACAAAAATAGAAAGTATAAATTATTTATGAACCTAGAACCGCTAACAAGGTAAGCTGGATTTTGTTCTCATTAATTATTTCAGAGGTTATGATAAAAGTTTGTGGATCCTAGACAGTGCGTAGGCGTGGGCTATTATTAAAATGTAATAAAGTAACCAGATTCAGCTTGTAGCTATAAAAAAAAAATTTTAGACCTATTCTAATCAACATAGTTGTCTCTCCATTATTTTTGGTAGCAGTGTCTAATAAGATAAGTGATTGGTCTTCAGTGGCACAAGTTTTTTTATAATGCTTGTCTAATTCATCCATCTTAATGATCACATCTCTTGAAGTATTACAAGAGGCATCCTGAAAGTTTTGCGGAAAAAGGCAAAGAATATTATCCCCAAAAGTTTTATCTTCAAGTTATGTATCTCTTGGAAGAAAGCCTTAAAGACTTTCTGTATTTTTCCTTTTGATAAGTCCCTTACTTGTTATCCAGTTATATTTTACTTGTAACTTTATAAATTCAGTTTAAAAGTTAATATTCGTTATTAAGTGAATATTTATAACCCAAATATACTGAAATTATTTCTGAATATTAAGCACGTATAGGTAGTTACGCTATGTCATATCGTTAACTTAACTGAATTATAATTTAAAAATAATCACTAGTTTCAAATAAAAACGTTAATTAAGAACACCGGCTAATTTTAAATCGTTTTAAACTAAACAACAATTTACAAATACTAAAATAAAGTCTCCTGAAAAACTTTATTTTTATCAGCTATACCTAGTCAACAAGCAAACGCATTATTTACTTAAGTAAAACAAAAAGGGAGGCCTCATCAGTCTCATAAACAATAATGTACCTAATTACAAACATACCTAGCAGTCTCGAGAGAAAACGGATTGTGCCTAAAGTACAGAACAGAGGGCGGTGATCAGATGTATTATAGTATTACCGAACTGTACTGGCACAGCGGGTGCCAAGACTGGTGCGGGATTATGACAATAACTAGCTCACTTGGGGAAAGAGTTATGTGAGAAACAGGAAACATAACCGTATGTACTAAGGTAGGTCGTAAGCTACATTATACTAGTTGCTTTATTGGACCCCTATTCTCATGAATGAATGTTTATTAGAAAATCCACTAGGAACTTAAGATACCTACGCTACGAGGACTTCATGAAATATTATTATAGGACATAGGTATCTATCTATATTTACCACAATAAAAGCTTTAAAATAATTTACATTCATAATAAATACCCAGTTGACTTTTAGCCGTAACTCATTCCGAATCTTATAAATTTAATGATTCTCTGTTCTTACGTGCCTTTCTTCAATTTTGAATATTAATTGAACAGAACTGAATTACCGGCAGTCTAAAGTCAATATTATGCAAAATGGCTGACTATTGAATTTCAAGTGGCAATTGGTATCTGCGAAACAAATGAAGTTCAAGATTCGTCCTTGAACAACAAAATGGATTCCCAACGGTTCTAAAACAATTCCAAAAATTGAACAAAGGAAAGTGCTATATAGTACTATACGCTTATGCTATGCTATAACAGCTAAACAGCAAAAACCCACTCTTACGTAACTGTATAATTAACGAATGTATGATTACAAATTAAACTATAATAAGCGTCAGTTTAACATACCTCTAGACTCTAGATGCAGAATCCAAACATCAAGTTTAAACGAGAGCTATGTAATTTAAAAGCTTTACTCACAACAATCGATGCTTGTGCTCAACAATCACCCTTACTTAAAATCACACCAGCCAGCAGACAATAACAAGAGCAAAACTAAAGCCTTCAAACCAATAAATGCGGTCAGCCTTAACACGACCAGACACATACACACACACATACATATGTATATGAGGATAGTTTCTATAACGTGAATGTCTTCACAGCAATACATTTGAACAAGCCACTGGTTCGGAAAACAAGCTGGAACCAGCGACAACGAAATGGAAAATTTGCCTACAACCGCCACGAGGTGCCAGTGAACTGAATTCAGTCACTAGCCGATGTTTGTCACTACAATATTCCATTTATTGTTCTACAGAATCTTCAAAATGCACATATTATCTAATATTTAATCAATTATAATGTGTCTTTAAATGCCTATAAGAATGCTACATAAAACAAAAAGTTATGTAATTATTAAAACCACCTAATTATTAGCAATTCTTTTCTTCAGTTCTGTATTAGAAATCTGTTACCAAAGAACAGTTGGACCTATACTCTACTCAAATTGTATTTGATGAATAAACCATCTCCTAATAGTTTTAACTAAATTTGTATAATGTCTCAATTTATCTCTTTCTTCATACGACCTGTATGTAATTGAAATATGGATTTTTGGCAAATATAAAAGGTATATGTAACTTCCATTGTTCCGTTTATACCTGACAGAACATTGAAAAACCCATTTCCTAATGGACCGTTTATAGGCAATAAAAGAACGGTTGAATTTGTATGGTGTATGTGTGTGTGAGTTATTTTTCGGAGACGTAACCATGTAACAAAGGAGAGTCGACTCTATGTCATAAATTAAATATCAACGTATCATTAATTTCTTTCAAGGATTTGTCCTTGGAAACTAACCCAGATTCTCAAGTATTGCAATTCATCAATGGATTTGTGATAAATACATTTATTTATTAACCGACTTCAAAAAAAGGAGGAGGTTATCAATTTGGTTGTATGTGTTTTTTTTATTTACTAGCATGTTTATTTATGTATCTAATAACTAAATCGTTTAAATAAATAGACACCTTTCTCATTATAGGAAATACATGTGGAATGTACTTTTAACAACGATACTTAAGTCAATAAGGTAATTATTAGATCTGTAGAAGAATAAAATATTTAACACTGCTATAAAGTGTGAACTTGCATTCAGTAAATTGCAGTCATTCGTTTGTTGGAATTGCAAACATGAAACATGCAATTTACTCACTGCCTGAAGTTTTATTCGTTGATTGGCATTGCTGAACGTGTTTACTGGGCACAAACAAGCATTTATTATTTAAGTCTACTGCAGGAAGCCCATTGCAGAATTCACGAAATTATTGTTTGCTCGAGGAATACGAATCAATGCTGTTGAGTATTTTTTTTTTTGAAATTTTCCTCAACTCCTAATCAATAATCGCCTTTTCGGAAAAACAACCGGTTACGTAAATAATTTTAACGTATCGCTTTGTTTCTCTAC